CTTACACGCTTAACCAACTAACGCAATGAAATGGAATCTTTCACGTTAACCTGTCTCAGTAAAATATTAAAAAAAAAAAAAGTTATGATGTCAGTGCCGCACTGCTGCAGCCACCCTATAGTAATTGTCTTCCCCTGAATACTTGAGCAGTGGCAAGGTAACTTCTAGAAGATTGGAGAGGAAAGATCGACTCGCCCTCTCTTCCTCAAAATACCTTGTTTCAAAGTTATTTGTAAAATTCGGGAAGAATGAAAGATGCATCTTCGGTTTACAACTGATTACTTGTCAAAAGGGCAGGCTTCAAATCAATTAAAGGGATGCTGAACCAAACATTTCAGTGTGTTTAATACGTGGTGCACGATGTTTCCACGAGGCAGCAGCAGCCGGTGTGCGCGAGCACAAGCAACGAAATTGCGTCGCGTGTGCTCATCATATGGGGTATATGATGACGTCAATTTTGTTGCGTGTGCTCGCGCACACCGGCGGCAGCTGGCTCGTGAAAAGATCGTGCGCCACTGATTATTAGCGGCGAGATGTTTTGGTGGCGCCCTCCTATGGTTCCCCCTTGTGACGTCATTACCTTGCGAACAACAAGTTCGATGGTGTTTGTAAATAGCATGGTGGAAGCCTGAAATCATTGCGCTCTCAAAGCAACACTGCCAACACCGTCGAAATTAAAGTTCTTTCATTCCTCTTATTTCCTTCGATGGTATACCCTTTCCGACGTCATAGTCAGCTTTTGGGCCAATCGTGGAAGGCCGACCACAGCGACGCTTTCGGTCGTGCACGTCGCCAATAGACACTGAAATGTTTGGTTCAGCATCTCCTTAAATTGTAATACGTGCTCGCGCACGTTGCGCATTTTCTGGAGTGCATGTGTGGCATTCGATCCCGCACCTCAAAAACCGTAGTTAAACAAGTCCGGCTCCACGCAAGAGATTCCCAACTTCCCTTTGTTATGTGCTGAATTAAGATATACACATGTAGGTGCATCTTAGATTAAAAGTAATTGTGTTGTGTGTATGTTTATACAGCGGTAAGTTAATTAAACCTAATGGGCGTCTAGTGTCTCAGCTGTAGATGAAAAACTTAGCCACTGCAGTACAACCGCTAGCCACGCCGATACGATGCTCATGTATGTTTATACAGCAGTAGGTTAATTAAACCCAATGAACGTCCAGTGTCTCAGCTGTAGATGAAAAACTTAGCCACTGCAGTACAACCGCTAGCCACGCCGGTACGATGCTCATCCAGTTCAAAATGGGCAAAACGGGTGGGGATCGAACCCAGGATCTCTGGGTTCTGCAAAGCGAGCTTTCGCTCCACGTGCTCCGAGCTGGTGTGAGCTAGTCCACTCGACCACCGATCCCCCTTATCTTAGATTATCTTTATATTATTTAATCAAGACGTGCACGTTTAAAACTCCAAAACCTTCGTGACCCCGCCCCCCCCCCCCCCCCCCCTCCCTCTTCAACAATCAATTCTGGTAAGGACTACTTCGCGCAGCGCATTAGTAACGCTCAAAACTTCCTTTCTCCTTGATGTAAGCAGGGAGTATGGAGGGAGCTCATTGCTGTTTGAAGGTAGGACGGGAGCGTTGCGGCGCTAAAATGTTCAGAGATAGATAGCAGCAGATAGACAAAGCGTGCAGAAGCTGTGGCGAAGAGGATGAAACGGCGCTGTTGAACACGTGACACTCCCCTGTAAAGGGCTTTGCCCTGCGGCTTCCCGAGGCGTGATTGATCTGGTAGAGGCACTTGGGGTTTAATGACATCGAAGAAAAAAAGTGACTTTAGGAGGCTGGAGATATCCAAGCAGATGTTATCCGATTAGTGGCCGAAGTCGACAAGAGAATAAATAGTGTCTGGTTCGTTGACCTTCCGACGAGAAAGGCGGCGCGCACCTGGCTTCACAAAAACGCTTCTATCACGCAGTTTTTTTTAACCATTAAAAGTTTTAGTTTTAATATGCATATCAGCACCTCAGGTTGAAAACGCTGGCTCGACGAAGAAAGCCGCCGCCCGATTCAATGCATGTATTGTATACCCATTCATTCACCCATCAAGCATTGATCTATATATCCCTCCCCCTTTGCAGAAACACACTCGCTCACTTTCTTTATTGGTCCTGCTTACAAGTATAATTACCCTTTATTTAACAAAAAAAATATTGAAATAGGTTACTCGATTGCTTGAGACGAAAAGTTAATGGACGTGTTACTTGAAAAAGTAGCCGTTACCGCTCTGATTACTTCACATGTTCAAAATTACAGTTTTCTCCGGTTTGAAAACTGGTATTTTCGTTCCTGTCTATCATTGGATTAAAATCGCCAATTTATGAGCTACTTGTCTTCTTAGTTCACCAATTTTGGTAAACTATCCTCCTGCCGCGGAGACCATGTCTCGAGGAATCCCAGGTAGGAAACTTGTACGAGCAAAGGCTGCCGTTAGAATGAGGAGGAAAATAATCAATAATGGTTACAAGCGATTTTAGTGCTTCCAAAAGTACTCAGATTACTCTCGCGATTACTTCTTAAGAAACGCGTGATCAAATGATTACAAAATTTCTTTAACGAGTAGCCGATGATATGTAATTTGATTACTTGTAATGAGCACTGTACATGTCTAGGGTGGGAAACGAGCTGCAGAGCCCCCGGGGGATTCCGGGCTCAGAAACCCCGACCCTGCCCCTTTCGCTTTGGATGAGCACCGCCATGAAAAAGGCTTAGCTCCTACGGAAACGCAGCGACGCCACCGGTCTTCAAACAACACGGCGCCGTTTCGCACGGGAAACAAGAGATGGCGCAAGCGGTCGCGACGCCAACTGCCGCCAACGAACGAGCATACGACGCCGAGAGCCGGCGTCTTTAGCAGACAAGGAACTGCAGTTCCTTGTTGTTACCGTTCCTGTTTTTGTTTCTGCGACTGTCACCGGCCTGCGGAACGCGCGCCGCTTTTGAGTCGAAAAGACTGTCTGCTAAAGACGCCGGCTCCCGGCGCCGTATGCTCG